TTTTTCAGGAGGGGATTATCAGAATTGTACAGGATGAGAAGAAAAAACGGCGTGAAATGGAAAACCGTATTGGTAAGTATAATGATTTAGAAATTTGCTATTTGAGAAGCTTTATAATTCATTTCTTTTGTTTATTTTACATATGGAACGTACTCTGGTGATTTTAGTACAAAGGAGAAGGAAATTAGAATCTATGGAGAAAGAGGATGACCTGGATACTGTTATGGCAAAGCTTAATGAACAAGCTGCAAAACATAACATTGACCGATTCCATTCTGTGATGGAAATTAAGGTCAGGTTTTGGTCAAACTTTCGTTTATGATATTCTGATGGTGACAAGATTTAAATCTAAATTAAGCCATACACTAAATTCCATTCAGGATTTGGTTACTTCATTCGTTTAACTTTTCTGTCTATTTTTCAGAGTCTACTTGCTGAGGCTGTTTCTTTAAAACAGAGTTTTGCTGAAAAACACATGAGGGTCATTGAGTTTGATGCAAAGGTAATTTCTATGATGGTCCAGAACATGCTGTTTCGAGCCCTTACCCGTTTCCTACATGCTGTGTTTACCTACCAAATTTACAAATAAGTTTACTGAAAGTCCCATTGATAGGTTGTGAAATATGATTTTTTTTTTCCCGACAGTCTTTTCTTCCTCTCTTTACACTTTAACAACTGAAGGAACTATTATCTATTTGTGCAGGAGATATGCTTTATTTTCTGTTTCCTGAGAAATAGATTTTGTCATATGTTGGCTTACTAGTCTGTTGTTATCTCAGCTTTTGTAAGAGAAACTGTCAAATTTTTATGGATATCCTTTGCATCCAGAAATATACTAATAGCTGCTCCCAGTTCATAGTTGGGCTTGCTTTACCATGTTGACAACTTTGAATACTTTTCTTCTAGGTTGATTTGCTTTAGATACCTGTATTTTGTTCTTTCATATGGCAGGAAAGGGGTATGTGTGTAGTTTAATTGCTGATGATGATTTGGGGTGAGTGCAAAAATGTTGTTTGGATCATTGACAAATTTAGGAAGGATATATGAGATCCAAGGAAGTGGGCTTTGGCATGAATTTAGATAGGATATATTTTTCCGGATTTCTTTTATGAGATTTGAAAGTTGTGGTGAGGTAGACACCATCTTTGTAGTTTTCTTCTGTCATGTTGACGTGGATCCTCTTGTAGTGTTCCAACGAAACAAGGTTTCTTGCTCATTTTGTTCAGGCAATCTGTTACACAATGTTTCTTAAACTCAAGATATTTATATTGCATGGCTATTTAAATGCAAGGTAAATTAGTCTCTCCATCTTTCTCCACAAGTAGGCATGGGAAGTCTATTAAAATTCAATCATAAAACTAAAGTGAATGTATGTTTTTAATGTTTTACTTTTTTTTAAAGGTAGGATGTAACAATGAGTGGATATTTTTTCCCCTTCTTGAAGTTTTAGGCCCGAGTAGTTCAAATATTTGTTTTTTCAAGCAATGAAAGTTTCCTCATATTGTTTTAATGAATAAATTCTTTGCTTGATTAAATATCTTTAGATGTCGTGTTTCTGTTGTTGCAAGGTTATTATTATACAATATTGCATTATACATATATTTTCAGTCTAATTACATGATATGTGCTTGTTTCTCATTTGTTAGATTAAAGAAATGGAGGTCAATATCAAGCAGCATGACAAAGTTGCTCTTCAAGCAGCCCTGCATCTTGAGGAGTGTGAGTAGCTTTTCAATTTTCTTTGAGACTCGTCCATCGCTAGAACTTGGTTTAAACTGTTTGAAACTTTGGTTTTATTTTTGTTATTGTGTTGTAAAAGTAATTTACTGTAGTTCTTTTGTCTTAAAAATAGTCGGAATATTAAATTGGTCACGTAAAAGTCCAAACCTTGGTCCTTACACATGAATGACATAAAAAACATAATTTAGGAAATGCTGCTTATTACCATTTTGCTTCTTGTCCAGGTAAGAAGGCAGTAGAGGATTTCCGACAGCAACTTGAAGTTGCCAAGAAGAATGCAGAGTTAATTGCCAGGATCACTCCAGAACTCGAGAAGGCATTTCTTGAGGTTTTTATATAATGAGTTAACTAGACATGAAAGATAACTTCTGTTTGAATGCCTTGTAATATGAGTTAATTGATGTAACCCAAAAAAAAAAAAATCAATTGCAAGAACTTCTGTGGCAGGCAGCCGCCCGGGGGGGGGGGGGGGGGGGG